TACAGGAAACAAAACCGGGGATGAGTCTGGGATGCCCACTTCCTCAGGATGGAGGACAACAGGACATACAGCAACAGTCCTCTAGAATCTACAGGGAACACTTTCCAAGTTCAGGAACAGCTGTCAGAAGTAATGAGTGAGGTCTAGACATCTCTAGAAATATCAGCAACTTAAAGAGGGAAATTTTACAAACCAGAACAGGAAAAATCCTGAGTTCCTAAAGTAGGATTAGGGTGTTTATAGTGAACCTCCACCTTATGAGAAGGATTTTCCAGAGCCCTGTATATGACAGCCCTAGAATATCTCCATAGTTCGAACATGAACAATTATTTAAAGGGCACTGGATACATGGCCCAGTGATTAAAAGCATTGGCCACCCTCCAGTAAATCTGGGTTCAATTCCTAGCACCCAACCACGAACTTAAAACCATCTCTTTCCAGTCACAGGATAACCAAAGACCTTTTCTGGCCTCCCCAGCCACTGAGCATGAACATAGTGTACAGAAATACATGCTGAGAAATGTTCCATATGCAAATAAAAATGAGACAGGTGATGGTGGTGCATGACTTTAATACAAGCTCTCAGGAGGCAGAGGCAATCAAACCTCTAAATTTTAGGTCAGGATCACGGGAGGCCAGCTTCAGAGGAAAGAGCAGATAAATAGTATAGCTAGAGGATGTCCAGACTGGTCCTTATCCACTTTATGACTCTGATCTTCAGGATGATGCTTCTCTAAAAATTTCCAATGGGAGTGACAGAGATGTGGTGGATTGAGTCATGGAAAGATTAACTACTGTGAGAGAAATCTCTAGAGCCCTGCTTCCCCACTCAGACCCAGCTCTAGGGCCTGGTATCCTGGGAGCAGTGTCTGGGGAATAGTTGCTTACTGTGATCTCTGTACTGGTCCTGTTCACAACATCCTTCTGAGTCCTAGCCCAGATGCTGATGGAGCTGACAGAATCAAGGAGGGAAAGTAAAGTAAAGGACTATGTACCTCACTGAAGTGTCCATCTCTGGCCCTGATTCAGGGGGTTCATTGCCTCAATGTTGTGTCACAGTTTTTTGTTGGCCAGCTGAGGCCACCTGCACTAAGCCTTGGCTTCCTGATGATCAGAGATCACAGGGATCTGAGGGAAGATGAAGGAATTTAGGATGGGAGTTGGCTGCTCTGTCAGTGGCCATGCACACCATGCCCAAGGAAGGCCATGGGTAGAAGCAAAAGGAGACGAGAAAGATAATGCACTACTGACATATCTCTAATGATTTCCAATGCAGAAATCACCCCAGTGTCTCCCTATGATACCAGGCTGACCCTCCACAGACCCTCAAGACCCAGACATGCAGCACAATACTCTGTATACTCATGAGAAGCCTTTTAAACATAAACCCATGTTATGGCCACCATTCAATATCTCTAAGATGAAGGACCCAGTTATCCTTTCCTTGGGTCTATGCAGATGTGGCCTCCTCTTGCCCCATCTGTGTCCATTCAGACATCATTGCTTAGTTCTGATCTTATATTGGTGCCATAGATTTTGTCTGTGGTCAGCAACAGCTCCCATGGCTGTATAGCTGTTGCACGGTTAGGGGAGTAATGGGAAGCATCAGACATGCAGGAGGAGGGAGACTTCCTCTACCTAAGTTGTCCCTCTCTGCTGACTCCAAGGGCTGTGAGGTCAGATGTGGCTCAGGTTTCAGCACTTGGCCAGAGGCTTGGTGCTGTGTCTAGGTGTAGAGGGGCTCTAGCTGGGGGAAGGTATCCAGGCCTGAGCTGGATAGAATGTCTCACATACATGAGAAAGAAGGTCTTCAACACATGAACAAGAAACCTGCTTTTCCTTCTCTAGGCTACACTCCCTAGGTAATGTTGGAAAATCTACCAAGTGCCTGGCCTTGTAATAGTCCTCAACAAATATCAATTATATATATATATATATATATATATAATCACTTTAGAGCCCAGTTTTCCACTATGGGTGAAAGGACAGTGTAGCCAGTGTAGCATGGATTCTAACTGGTCTTAATAATAACCCAGAGTCAGATATCAGGGTGAAAGCTGAAAGATCAGAGAAGCAGAGCAGCCACCCACTAGAGTTCTTTCTTCTACTGAATCCTCAGCCTTAAAGGAGACTGCGCTCCTGTCTCCTCCCACCTTATATTCCTCTCTGTGCCTAGCCACATCACTTCCTGTCTTCACCTCCCTAGTGCTGGGATCAAAGGTGTATGCCACCACTGCCTGGCTATGTTTTCCTTTCAGACTGGATCAATCTTGTGTATCCCAGGGTGGACTTGAATTCCTGATCTTCTTGCTAACTCCTCCCAAGTGCTGGGATTAAGTGTGTGTGACACCACTGCCTGTCCTCTATGGCTATCTAGTGGCTAGCTCCACTCTTTAAACTTCAGGTGAGCTTAATTTGTTAAAGAACAAGTATCACCACAGGAGAGTGCCATTGAGTTAAGGCAAAAATGCAGATGTTGGGATGGTGAACACCAGACAGTCTGAGCCCTTGGTCCCCTTTGCAGAAGCTCTTTCCCTCATAAACTCTGAACTCCCATAGATGGTTCTGGGTCAAAGACATAGTTCCAGTACTAGCAATTGAAAGGTATGGGGTCAGGTGTTCCCTTCTGCTTTCTATGTGGAGTGTGAGTCAGTACTGGTCTCTCTTCACTTTATGACCCTGATTTGGTTTAGGCTGATGGGATTCTCTAAGAATTACCAGTAGAAGAGAGAGAGAAAAAAATGGTTAGTCATGTGATGGAAAGATCAACTCTTGGGAACCCTGAATCCCGAATATCCATCTCCTCACTCTGACCCAGCTCTTTGTCTTGGTGTCCCCAGAGCAGTGTCTGGGGACAACTTGATTCACCCTGATCCATGTCCTGGCCTTGATCAAGATGTTCTTCTGAGTCCCAACACAGTGGGCAATATGTCAGCTGTTCTAGAGCATTTTGATCTCAATATGTCTACACACACTTAGAAATTATGTGGAACTAAAGGTAAACATGCCTACATGACATATATCAATCCATACTTTAGGAATTGAGAATGTTGAGACTCTAACTTTGTTGAAGATAATGCCAAATAATGGCAACCTGGGATCAGAAGTTTTATTTGAGGATCAATACACATTTGTTCTTATCAGTGGAGACATGCAGGGCTTGAGAATTCTTATCCTGATGATTGTCTTTAGGAGACAATCATGTCAGAGACACCGATCCATTTCTACTAGCGGAACTGAGATCTCAGACACTTTGGGGATTTGGAGCAATGGCTCTAGCCGACCTTCTTCTTCAACTCCCTGTCCCCAGGACCAGTATGCTCCATTCACTGCATCTGAGGCTTTTTCAGGGGAGTCACTTCCTTGTCTGAAGGGCCTGTGAACAAGAAGAATCCCAGAGGCCAGACTTGGATGCTTTCTTGCTGAAATATGACATGGAGTGTGAGTTCTGGGGCTCTGTGAGGCCAGTTCCTGACTCTCCTGCAGATTGGACCCTGGTAAAAGATATATTGGCCAGTATGTCAAGTTCGCAAGGATGCTGAAAGGAATCACCAGAACAGTGAAGAGAGATATGTAAGCTCTACACACAGGTAGAAAAAGAGGATCAGGACACCCCCTACAGAGATGGCAGGATATGGGGAAACTTTCGGTAGAGAATTGCTGCCATGCCCTGTTGTTGAAAGACTCTAGTGTTTGTTAGGAAATGTGCTCCTTGCCTGAGGCAGGTATCTGTTCCACAGACACACATGCAGGAAGATCCCTATCACATGCTTCAGAAACCTGACTTCCCTGCCACGTTCCCCTCTTTAGGGGATGTGCTCCTGGTACTGCTTAACAAGACTTAGAGAATCTGCCATGTGCATTTCCTCTGGGATCCAGAGAAGCACACAAGAGACAATGCTCAACTGTGCCTTAGGGCCACAAACACACTCTCCCTTGATTAATGTTCTGTTGGAACTGGAGCAAAATCTCCATCCCTCAGGAATTGTAGACAGTGTCTAGACTGTCAATTAATTTAGTTTTACAGAGTTACTATTGATTTCATCTACACCGTTCCTCTTTGTAGACAGATGTTAACATAGGATTCCCTTACTTCATTTTGAAGGATTTCCAGTTTCATTGAAAGTGATTTGATGCTCTGAAATCCTGTGCTTATGCTTTAGTGACTACTATGAAATCCTCTAGGGATTTAAGCAGTTTTTCAACAGGTAGTACCCAATTTGTAAATTCCATATAACTTTCCTTACATAAACCTATTTCCTGTCTGAAATTCAAATACTTAGTTAAGATAGCTGTAGAATGGCAGTAGTGCAGAACAGCTTTGTCCAATACTTACGATTTTTTAAATTATCTTTTTAATTCTTTTTTTATTTATCAGATTTTAATGACTTCCTTTGGAGACAGGGTCTCAGGATGTAGCCCACTTTGTTCTTGAACTTGCAAATCTCCTGTTGGCAGAGCTCCTCCTGCTGGTATTACTGACATATTATAGCGTCTAAAGGCTGTCAGAAACCAGGACTCTAACAAATTTGGTGAGAATACCACAGACATCCATGGTTGGACAACGAAAGAAACATTCCTAGCTATGTCAGTGACCATCAACAAGAGAAGACAAGGACACCAGATTGAAACACAGAACTGAGAACAAATGTAAATCCTGTAGTACCGTGAATCTCAACATCTCTTGATGGAATATCAGAATCATGACTGCCAACATGAAAGAACAGCACAGACACTGGACAGACCCTACAAATGCCTGAGATCCTTTGTTCACATGTCCTGGTGAACAGGTTTATTGAAAGAACAGGGAGTAGGAGCTAGCAAGATGACACAGGAGGAAAGGGACTGTGTGAGAGCCCAGGGTGGAAGGATCAACAATTGTGCACACACAGGCCTCACGTCTCTACATAGCCTTCAACTGTCACTACAGACAACGGAGTTAGCACAGCACACATGATACCGTCAGGTTCTGAGACTTTATTTTCTCCATCAAGTTTTACCCATCTTTACCACACTAATCAAAAATCTACTCTGAGAGAAGTGCCATAATCATAAAAAAAAGTTTAATTTCAAGAAAGATGCATGAAGATGTAGCTCAGTGAAAACTAAAGTTCAGTCAGGGGTGGAGGTTTGCCAGCCCAGCCTCTGTTGGAGCAGCAATAATGACTGAGGAAGGAATGATGGTCAGTGTGTGGATGGGACTTACTGCTGCTCAGGCAGAGCTGAACTCATCACCTGTTCACACTGTGCTCTAAGGAGACAGACACACAGTCACAGTTAGATGCAGGAAGAGAAGTCATCAGTTTTGGAGGCCACAGTGGGAAAAGAGAAAACAGAATAAATCCCGTTAGGCTCAGTGCAGCTGTCTTATCCTGTAGAAGAAAAGAACAAGGAAGAAATTCAGATCAATGTCTTAAATGGTGACATTCTGAACAACTCATCACACACTCAAACTGTCCCAATCTCAGGAGTCCCCACAGCTCAGGGTTCTATCTTCTGACCTCTCCCTGTCTCACATCAGGCCCTTTAGGATGTCACTTTTAAAGATATAACAGAAGGATGGACATCCTAGAAACTTTACCTCCAAGTAGAAAGTGACACAAGAGCAGATCAAAGCCTCTGAAGATAGAAGTAATGAGGAGGTATGGGCTAGCTGAGAATCTCCATGGCTCCTGTATATACTGCCATAAGTGTCTCAGGGAATGACTGGCAAGCCTGAACAAGGCTGCCTCACCATTTACCCTTGGAAATAATCCCTTTTCTTAGAGCTCCTGGGAGCATCAGTATCTGCGAGGCCTAGAGAAATCTTCTGGTCCTTATCTCAGGGAACTTTCTAGAACTGTGACTGCAGATCTAGAGAAAGATGAGGAAAACTGATAGTAGATTGTACACGAACAGGATTGACTGGACTCCTGGATAACTGTTCTAAGTAAGAACCTTTCCATTTGACCTCTGAGAGCTGAGGATCAGGTCTCTGCCACCTCTATCACTGCAGTGATGAATCTGTTCATTATTTCCTTTATGCTTCACAATAGAGTTAATGTCAGCACATCAGCATAAGACTGAATAAGCAACTGCGTGGAGGAATCTTTGCTCTCATGTGGCAAGGCACACTCTCAGCTGGACTTGATATTCCCATGGAGACTTGAACTCAGACCCTGCCCTTTCCTTACCTTTAGTCCTCCTCTTCCATATCAGAAAAGTCACCACAGCTCCCATAAGCACAGCTCCAAGAACCAGGCCAGTAACAATTGGCATGATGGGATCAGAGGGCTGAGGAGGCTCTGACAGAGAATGGAAGGAACAGTGAGGCCTCTGATGTGCAGCTATCAGTCGTGACCCTGCTCCATTTCTCCCCAAAGCCTCCCACTCTCTGTGTAATAGGCTCTTTGCCCACACTCACTCCTTACCCCATCTCAGAGTCAGGGGCTCAGGCAGCCCTTCATGATTTACATGACATGTGTATCTCTGCTCCTTCCCAGAAGGCACCACCACAGATGCCCACTTCTGGAAGGTTCCATCTCCTGCAGGCCTGGTCTCTATCACCTCCATATTCAAACTTTGGTTGCTCCTATCCCTCTGCCAGGTCAGGGTGATGTCAGCAGGGTAGAAGTCCAGGGCCCAGCACCTTAGAGTGATTTTCCCATTAGCTCTGACCTTACGGGTCACGTGTATTTTAGGGGTATCTGAAGGGAATAAATTAGAAAATTCAGGCTTTTTGCATTCTTCCTGAATATCCATCACTGTGCACGTGACCTTGGTTTGAATGGATGGGAGAGTTGGCTAGAAGGAGAGATGCTGACCCCATACATCAGCCTAATCTCAGGATAAGGATGGGGTTAATCTATTCCTTGGAAAGTTTCAGAATCATCATGAGCCAGCACAGAGCAGGGGGCTCTGGATCTCCCTCTAGGAATATGGACTTTTGGTTCTGATTGGATGGAGACTCAGACTCAGCAACACTGGGCTCAGACCTCCACAGTACATGGAGAGTGAACAGACATGACAGAGATCATGGTTCACAAGGCAAATGGAAGGAAAATGCTGCATAATTGACAGACTGATCTATCCTGAGTGAAGGCTTAGCCCTCTGGAGAGTCCATCTCTCTTGTTGAATTAGGAAACCCACGACACTCTTCCCCTTTGATGCAAGACTCAGTTAGTATCCAGCTTCTCCCTGCTGAGGAGGACAAGGGCTCCAGTCTCAGTTCAGGGTTGGCAGTTCTTTTCTTACCTGTTCTCAGCAAAATCTCCTTCCCATAGACCAGCTGTCTGAGGACCAACTTCACACCTTCATACTGCAAGTAATTCTTCAAAGATTTTGCAAAACCTGACGCCTCCCAATTTTGCCTCAGCACTTCAGCTGCCTTGCCAACTGCAGTCCATGTGCTCAGGTCCTTGTTCAGCACAACGTAATCATGGCCATTGAAGATGAATTCATATTGTACATGACTGAGGTTCCCTCCAGGCAGTACATCGCAGGCCATCAGGATCTGGATTGTGTGATTACCTATCCAAGCCCATACTGTCAGCCACTCTACAGGGCTAGGTCCCTTGGGGCCCTACAGTGACTCAGTCCCTCCCATTTGGCCTTTGTAAATGGCCACATTTGAGTTTAAATTGTACAGAAAACCAGGTCAGTGTCCCAAGGCTCTCTGTAGCCTAGTCTATGTGAGTTACATTTTGCTCAGGAAAATATTGGATATGGGGAACTGGAGCAAAACCACTGGAAGCTTGAAATTTGGGATTTCTGATTCGGGTCCACTCACCAGTTTCAATTAGATTGTAGATGTGAAGCATTTTCTTCAGCATGTACTTGTATGCTGCCATCAGTCTCAGAACTTCTTCTGTCCTCTGGTCCCAATACTCTGGCTCCTGCTGATCCACCCATGGTGCACAGTGCATCAGTCTCGGAGGCTCCTCTCTGCTGTTGAATCTCTCAATATGAATGCCATTAAAGTAGACAGCATAGATGAGTTGGGGCTCCAGCAAGTCAGGCCAGGTGAGGAGAGTTTGCAAATAGCTCAGGGAGTTTGAACCTAAGTGCAGTGCATCTTTAGATCTATAACTCCCTCCTAGTACCCTATGCTGCTCCCCACATTTCTCCTAAAAGAGAAGCGAGCAGGGACTGGGGCCGTGATATTAAATAAATAAAGAAGGTCCTGGCTAGGCTAGGGGAGAGACAGATTTTCCTGTGCTGCAGCCCCAGGGGTGGAGTCCTTTCATCTCCCAGGTTAGGTCCTTTCCCTCCTGACACCCACACTCACCCTCTAGATGCCTGGTCAGGGTCAGGTTGGCCAGGAGCAGCAGGAGGAAAGTCTTGGGAACTAAGGTCTTCATCCTGATTGAAGAGTGGACACTGAGTCTCTGCTAGTGTGTGTTCAGTTTATAATCTTGATATGGATGAGGCTGACTGGCTTCTCTAAGAATTCCCAATGGTAGTGATAGAGAGCATTGTGATTGGGTCATGGAAAGATGAACTCCTAGAAGAGGAATCTCCTGGGCCCTGCTTTCCTGGCTCAGTTCCAGCTCCGGGACCTGGGTTCCTGGGAGCAGTGTATGGGGACAAGTTGCTTACTCTGGTTGTTGTCCATCTCATCCTGGTCAAAATATCCTTCTGAGTCCAGACCAGAAGCCATTGAGTCAGTAATTCTCACACTGAGATGTCAGGATGTCTACAGAGTCTTAGAAATTAATTGCCCTCAAAGGTACTTATGCTTATGTGGATTGTATCAATCCACATTCAGTACATTAGGAACTGAGAATTTTAAAACATTTGCTTCATTGAGCATTAATGACAAAGTGCATGTAAGCATAATGTTTACAAAAAGTAATGACTATTTTCCAAAATACAATGATATTGTAAGACTAACAGATGTTTACATGTTTGCCTCTACTTATCCTCATCTTTCCTACAAGACATATCTTGGGTTCTGACTCTCCTTTTTAACATTTAGTTTTATAGACAGTGTAGAAAATGTATCTTAACAAAAATGTACAGAGAAAATAGATTTAAGACCTATTTTTATTTTTTGTTTATGTGTATACTTCTTCATGTATGGGTGTGTGAGTGTTGGGAGTACAGTAGTCTGTGGAGATCAGAAGAGGCTCTTAGTAACCCCGAAGTAAGAGGCCCAGGAGGTTGTGACCTCAGACACTTCTGGGACTCGAACTGTGGTCGTCTACACAGTTTAGCCATCTCTCCATACACAGGGGAGAGTGTTTTTATTAACATCTTCAAATTGTTTTACTTTTTTCTTTACTTTTTTTTTTTTTTTTTTTTTTTTTTTTTTTTTCCGAGACAGGGTTTCTCTGTGTAGCTTTGCGCCTTTCCTGGAACTCACTTTTTTTTTTAAGTGGTCAGGAAGTCACAGACATCCACATGGCTCTGTCCCCTGAGTACTGAGATAAATCCATGTCCCACCATACTCTGCTCACTGGAGATGTTTATCTTTGATACTTCACTGGGTTCATTCAGGTGTTACTTACGTTCTGGAACTTAAAATACCATTGAACCCTCCATAGTTTGCTGCATCCATGTCCATAGGAGAATCATGCTCATTGAGTGCATTTTGTGTTATTAAATTTTATTTTCAAAATGAGAATATTATTGACCAAGTTCATCAGTGTCATATATTTATATGAATCTATATCCTAAATGATTGGCGGAGAATGGGTGCAGAGTGGTCCTTATTCACTTTACCGCTCTCATCTTCAGGATGAGGCTGACTGGCTTCTCTACGAAATCCCAATGGGAGTGACAGGGACCAGAAGTGCCATGGAAAGATTAACTATTGGAAGAGGAATCTCCAGAGCCCTGCTTCCCCACCGCATATCCATCTCTGTGCTGTTGTATCCTGGGAGCAGTGTCTGGAGACAAGTTGCTTACTCTGATACCTGTAATTGTCTTGTTGACAACATGCTTTTGAATCCTAGCCCAGATGCTGATCTGGCTGGCAGAATCAAGGAAGCAAAGGACACCAAAGACCTATGTCATCTATCACTAAAGTGTCCAGCTCTGGTTCCTGATCTGGGGTTCCTCACTGTTATATCATGGTTCTTTCCTGTCCAGCTCAGTCCACCTGCAATAAGACTTGGCTTCCTGGTGATCTTATCTCACAGAAGTCTGAGGGAGGCAAGGAAATTTGGATGGGAGTTGACTGCTGTGTCAGAGGTCATAGAGTCCATGTCCATAAGAACATAGAGGAGAAGAGGCAGGAGCTGAGGAGGATAATGTGCTACTGACAGAACTCTGATGATTCCCACCTCAGACACCAGCACAATATCTCCACATGACACCAGACTGATCCCTCCAAGGACCCCCAACCCAAGTATCAAGCACAATTCTCTGGACACCCGTGGGGATATCTAAACACATGATATTACCCAACTTGGGAGTGCAATAGCCACCATTTCATATCTGTGAGACTTAGGACCCAGGTATCTGTCTTAATATGGTTTTATTTAGTCGTATACAGATGTGGCCTCTCTTGCCTCATCTGTTTCCTTACAGTCATCATTCCTTAGTTTTGATCTTGTTTTGGTGACAGTATTTGGGGCTATGGCATGAGGCAATCCACATGGCTACATAACTGTGGCTTGGACAGATGAGAGATGGAAAACAACAGGCATGCTGCATGGGGAGGAATCCTGTACCTGAGATGCCTTCTCCCTCTTGTCTCCAGAGGCTGTGAAGTCAGATGTGACTCTGTAGCAGGAATCTTAACAGGTCTTATTAATAAAAACAAACCTGAGGCCAGTTATTGGGGTGAATGCTGGAAGATCAGAGAAACAGAACAAGCCACAGCTAACCTCACCTTGCCAATTCCTCGGCTGATCCTGTTTCCTCAGACTAGAAGCCTCTGAGTCCTCATCCAAATGGGTCTCAGCTGAACTGCTATTCTAAAGCCTAAAAGCTTAACCAGCCAAAAGCTTCTAGTTTCTGGTCTTCACGCCTTATATATCTTTCTGCTTTCTGCCATCACTCCCTGGGATTAAAGGCTCACTTTCTAGGATGAAAGGCATGAGTCATCATGCCTGGCTGTTTCCAATGTGGCCTTGAACTCACAGAGATCCAGAGGAATTTCTGCCTATGGAATGCTAGGATTAAAGGCGTGTGCTACCACTCCCTATCCTCTATGTTTAATATTGTGGCTGTTCTGTCTCTGACTCCAGATAAGTTTATTAGAGTGCACAATATTTCGGGGAACACAATACCACCACATGGCTCAGATTTTAATTCTTGTCCATTGACTTGGTGCTGTGTTCCAGGTGGAGAAGTGGTTCTAGGATTACCTGGGTTAAGGTCTGCTGGCCTGGAATGGATGGGATGTCACACACACACACACACACACACACACACACACACACACACACACACACACACAGAGGCACACACACACACACACAGGCACACACATAGGAGAAGATCTCCACTATATGAATAAACAACTTGCCTTTCCTTCTCTAGTCTCCAGTTTTAGGGGATCTGCTTCTCAGATTTACTCCTCAATAAGTGATGAAGAATCTGCCATGTGAATCGCCTTGTTCCAGGCACTGGAAAACAGAAATGAAAAGCAGGCAAAAATCACCATGCTGGGATTTGAAAAGAAGTCTTGCTTATGGCCCTGTCAGAGGAGCAGCAGGTGGCAATGGACTTCAGGGTGTCAGACACTAGGATGAAAATCCCTTATAATCTTGGGTAGGAGAGGCCCCCGCACCACAGACTCCAGAATGTCTTTTGCTTCTGCTGTGCCTTTACACGTTTGCTGCTGCCATTCTTCTCTGGTATTTGGCAAGGTGAGAAAGGGTGTGGGAAGATGCCCACTGCCTATTATGTAGTGTGTTCATCTCATGGATACATCCTATGCTAGTGTTCATTTTTATCTGTGGATTATTATGAAGATGATTCCTTCCTAAGCTGTACTGACTAATTGATAATAATAATGTTAGTTTAAATAGAGTTTTGATGATTAAAAATAAAACAAGGAAGTATCACACAGCAGAACACATGAGTTTCTATGGAGGAGTCACATAGACTGCGGCTTAGGGTAATGATTAAGCAAAACAACTGAATTCCGGTATCCCAGCTAGCTTAAATTCTTTTAACCTTTATGTTGGGAGATGTGTTCACAGGTTTCAGAGTGCATTCCTTATCTGAAACAAAGCCTTATAATAACTTCTGGGTAGATCAGATGTTTTGATAATAGCTTTGAGGCGAAAAACCCAAGAAGACAACCTAAAGTTTTAGCAAGGCACGTAGTTGAATGAGGAACTCCTTAAGGTCAGGGAACAAGAACAAAGCTGCCCAGTTGTTACCAGCTGACATATCATCCTTGCTAGGATTGGTTGATGATCAAGGATGATGATTAGTCCCTTAGACTGATTTCTGCCCTCAATCTCCTGATATAAGAAAAAAAAAAAAACCATTCATGAGTGGGTATGCACCCTAAAGGTTTAAAGTAGAGCTGACTGATTCTTTTTCATGTATAAATGTTTAGGTTTGTGATTCCTTTAAGATTCCTTATAAGATTACCTTTAGGTAAGTAATTGGCCCTTTCTTTGTAACTGTAAAATGCAGCCTGCCAGTAAAAGACCTGACTGAGAAGAATATCTTGCTTGCCTGCTTAGTTAATCTATAACAAACTGCCTGGGTATGAATGTGTGTGGGTTCTTGGGATAAATTGTTTTTCACCTGTAATACTTAAAATGTCTAATCATATAAAGGATATGCAAAACATGCTGTTTTTTGCTTGTATTCACTGTATTCATTCACTTGAAAAACAGAATATAACCACATTGTAATTTTTATATTTCCTGAAAGATTTTGCTAGGGCATATAAGCTGTGAGGGAAAGAAAATAGAGTTAAAATGAGTTAGAAGGGAAATATGAAGAATGAGAGAGTTAGAAGAAAAACATCCAGAATGAGAGAATTAGGAGGAGAGCATCAAGAGAGTTAGAAGGAGAAGGAAAACCTCAAGAGAGACAGAAGGGACATTTCCGGATAGAGATAAGAAAAGAGAATATAGAACACAAAATGAAGAATAGAGAAAAAGACGGAAACCATCAAGAGAGACTGTGAGTGTCTTTTTCCCTTACTCCCTCAGATGGAAAAGTGTAATACATGCTGACTGCCTGACTTCCCTTTGAGCCCTGGGCTGATTGCGGCTGGTCCCCTGGGCATCAAACATTGCTTAGTTATTAAAAGTGCTGACTGCTCTTACAATGAACCTGAGTTCATTTCTAAACACCCCAACGGGCCACACACAACCTCCTGTTACTCAAGCTTCATGGGATTTGATGTCCTCTTCTAAATTCCACAGGCACCTCCAATCGATTG